TTGAGCTATGGGAGTGAAATATGAAGTGTGGGCTAATTTTGGGGGAGCAATTTGTTTTGAATAAAAAACAAATGCAGAAGATAAGATACCTAAAATCCCTTTAAAAGAGAAGAGGTGTACTGAATGGCTCCAACTGCATTTTAAAAATATATGATGTAAATGGAACGACAGTTACTATTAGTTGTTTTGTATACACTGTAAATGTGACCTGAACTGATCTGATGAAGCTAAACTTGAGAATTATCAAATATGACTCATCAATACTTTCAGACTTTATGTTCTATCAGCACTAAATGTATGTTTTCTTATGTATAATCTGCTAAATGGTAGCCTACTATTTACAACCATGTCAGTGATGATGATTCACATTCATTGCATTTAACCATCATTACATCAGATCAGGTTAGAAATAACACATGCACGACAATTTACTTAAAACTTGTTTTACTTTAGATTTTCTTCCATATATTCATTATACAGATTTGATCGTGTCCCAGGCCAGCACAGTACTAGTAGAAAACGACACCAGTAGCTAGGAGGAGGACATTCTACCCCAGAAGGACCCTCGACTTTTTACAGGATACAAAGGCAGCAGACACTGGGGCGGGGCTTTGAAGATATCTGTATCTTCCCAGGTCAGAAGATATTTTAATATGTTCCAGGAATTTCATGAAGGAAGACCCAATGCATCTTTTCACTTCTGGTTGATAAGTAAGAACAGCCTATCTAGGCCGTTTTCTGTGGCTATGAGAGTACTGGCTGTTCCCGCTTCTAGTTGTCCCATTGAATGAGTGTTCAGCCATGGAGCATCATTATGCGCCCTCATAGAGCTAATCTTAGTGATAAAATTCTGTCTCAGCTGATATTTCTAAAGCGTAACAGTTTGTACAGATAAAATATATACTCTGATTGCCGTCTTCTTGTCAGTGACGTCACACACTTTGAGGCAAATATCAAGCACAAGCACACTGCTTGGAGACCTTATAGTAAAGCTGGTCCAAAATAAAAGATAGCTCATACTTCCTTTACAAACCTGTGTGACTCAATTGGATTTCCACCACCATGGATTGTTACATATGAGGCAAAAATAGTTTACCATCAGTTTGTCTTGGCATGAGATCAGATTCAAATGATATCCAGCTTATTTCATTTACGTATGTTGGAAAATATTCACTCCAAACCAATTATTACTAAGCCTGTCTAGAAACAAACTGAGGGTACATTAATTTGGCTTCCATAACCAACTAAAAAAAATCACACCTTATAGAACATTTGGATTGTCCACAAACACATTTTATCATTATGACTTGGATAAAATGACTTGTGATTTGACTTGAGACTTGCAGGAAATGACTTATGACTTGACCTTACTGACTTGTGATTTGACTTGAGACTTGCAGGAAATGACTTATGACTTGACCTTACTGACTTGCGACTTGACTTGGATATGCAAAAAATGATTTGTTACCAATTCTGGCTGAAACTATGCTATCATCTCAGATGTTTATACAAAACACCAAACCAGGAGATAATAGTCACGAGAGAAGTATGATGCTGTAACTTATATGCGTTTATGCATCACGCAATCATATTCAGTCCTGAAATGACAGATCAACACAAGTGTCTAGGATTATACGCAGAAATTTCCTTGGAATCCATGTCTATTACATAAGCAGAATTTTAAAAATAGACAAGTGGTTTAAAGAATGCGACGTGCTTAACCATTTAAAACACTTCCCTCAAAAGGCTATGAAGATGTTTTATATCCACCTGTAGCGATACCTGCAAGAAGGGGTATAAATACTGGCTGTATATTATGTGTTCAATGTTTATTACATTGTTCTACATCAATTTGGACATACAAGATTGATAAAGGACACTAGTTTTTACTTATAAACACTGGTTTAAATGTTATTAAGTAGTAAACTATAAAATTTGACGGGCACTACTACTCGAGTTCTAGGGGGCTCACCGAGATTTTGTCACGTTACCCGTGGGTCAGACTGCCACTGATTAAAAGCCTAGTAATATTGTTACGTCTCCGTTTGTTAATTGATTTTCCGTAGCTTCGTTCCGACGAAACTT